TTTTTCCCCCCTGGCAGCATGAGAAGAGCCCATCCCCATCCATGTCCTGCCCCACATCCCATGGTTGGGATTCTCCCGGCTCCATGGACCAAGGGGAGCTGGAGGTGTCCAGAGCACCTCCCTAATTCCCTGTTTTCCCCTATTACAGCAGGAGAAGAGCCCATCCCCATCCATGTCCCGCCCCACATCCCGAGGTTGGGATTCTCCCGTCTCCATGGACCGTGGGGAGCTGGAAGTGCCCAGCCCCTCCCTCCGGAGCCGCCCGGTGACGCGGAGCATGGGACAAGGGGACGCCATGGAAGTGCCATCCAGCCCCATCCGCAGGGCCAAGCGGGCACGGCTCTGCTCCTCCGGCGGCTCGGTGAGCACTGGGAATGCCGGGAATGCCGGGAATGCCGTCCCTGATCCAGGGGTTTGGGCGTGGAGCGGGAATTTCACCCCCCTTGTGTTCGTTCCTCTCTCGTTCCCAGGACGCTTCCACGAGGAGTTTCTTCCACCCCACGTCCCAGCACAGGGACTGGTGTCCCTGGGTGAGCTCCAGGGAGGGACAGGATTCCCTGGAAGATGCCGTATCCCACACGGAGAAGGCCGGGAAGGCGGAGCCGGGCTGGAAAATGGTGCTGGACACCCTGCTGGGCACCCGGAGGGGCGACGCCGTGCCCGACACGGAGCCGGTGGTGAGCCTGGCATTCCCAGATCCATGTGGGCACAGTTTGGGATGGATGGGCTTCCTTTGGGCTGGATCCAATCCTTGGGAGACAAGGACCCAACGTGTGTCTCCAGGGTCTCAGTTCCCAGCCCCTTCCCAGGATTCATCCATGACAATGTTGTGTGTGGAGCTGGATCCTTGTGGGCACAATTTGGGATGGATGGGCTTCCTTTGGGTTGAATTCCAGCTGGGAATTGGAGGGACCAAACTCCCTCCAGAGTCTCAGCTTCCCTCTGGCAGCCCCTTCCTAGGATTCATCCATGACAATGTTGTGTGTGCATCTGGATCCCTCTGGCCACAATTTGGGAGGGATGGGCTTCCTTTGGGAAGTCAGTCCCAGCTGGGAGACAGGGACCAAACTCCCTCCAGATTCTCAGCTTCCCTCTGGCAGCCCCTTCCCAGGATTTATCCATGTTAATGTTGTGGAGCTGCTCAAGGGCTGGATCCCTGTGGGCAGGATTTGGGATGGATGGGTTTCCTTTGGGAAGTCAATCCCACCTGGATGCCAAGGACCAAACTCCCTCCAGCTCCCCCCTGGCAGCCCCTCCCCAGGCTCCATCCATCCCGTGCCTCCTGCTATAAATAACAGCCTTTCCCAAGATCCACTTTCATTCCCTGTTCCCAGAGCTCTGCCCCCATCCCTATCCCTGGCTCCAGGCTTTCCCGGGTTTCCCAAGCCGGGGAAGCAGAGCTGAGGCCAAAACTCCTCTCCCAGTGGCTGCTCCTGCCTCCTCATGCATTGGGATTCCTCCTTCCATCCCCCTCCTGCTTTGCTGGGAACTGGGAGGAGCAGCAGGACAGTCCTGCTCCGGGATTTGTCTCAAGGCCCCTTCCCGCTCCCTGGAGCCCCTTCCTCCTTCCTGGAGCCCCTTCCTCCTTCCTGGAGTCCCTTCCTCCTTCCTGGAGCCCCTTCCTGCTTCTTGGAGCCATTTCCTGCTTCCTGGAGTCCCTTCCTCCTTCCTGGAGCCCCTTCCCACTCTCTGGAGCCCCTTCCTGATCCCTGGAGTCCTTTCCCACTTGCTGGAGCCTCTTACTGCTTCTTGGAGCCCCTTCCCACTTCCTAGAGTCCCTTCCTCCTTTTTGGAGCCCCTTCCCACTTCCTTGAGCCTCTTTCCATTTCTTGGAGCCCATTCCTGCTCCTGGAGCCCCTTCCTGCTCCCCGGAGCCCCTTCTTGCTTCTTGGAGCCACTTCCCACCCCCTGGAGTCCCTTCCCGCTCCCTGGAGTCCCTTCCTGCTTCCTGGAGTCCCTTCCCGCTCCCTGGAGTCCCTTCCTGCTTCCTGGAGTCCCTTCTTGCTCCCTGGAGCCCCTCCCTGCTTCCTGAAGTCTCTTTCTCCTTCCCGGAGCCCCTCCCTGCTCCCTGGAGCCCCTTCCCACTCCCTGGAGCCTCTTCCTGTTTCCTGGATCCCCTTCCTGCTTCCTGGAGCCCCTTCCTGCTCCCTGGAGCCTCTTCCTCCTTCCTGGAGCCCCTTCCCACTTCCTGAAGTCCCTTCCTGCTCCCTGGAGTCCTTTCCTGCTTTCTGGAGCCCCTTCCCACTCCCTGGAGCCCCTTCCTCCTTCCTGAAGTCTTTTTCTGCTTCCTGGAGACCCTTCTTGCTTCCTGGAGCCTCTTCCCACTCCCTGGAGCCCCTTCCTGCTTCTTCGAGCCCCTTCCCACTCCCTGGAGCCTCTTCCCACTCCCTGGAGCCCCTTCCTGCTTCCTGGAGCCCCCTCCCACTCCCTGGAGCCTCTTCCCACTCCCTGGAGCCCCTTCCTCCTTCCTGGAGCCCCTTTCTGCTCCTGGGATCCTCTTCCTCCTCTCCCTGTTCCCGGCAGTTCCTCCTCCTTGGAAGCTTTTTCCTGCTTCTTCCTCGTCGTCCCCTTGGGTTTTTTTTTCCCTCCATCCAGTTGGGAATTTGGGATAACGAAGGAAAGGAATGAATTGGTGTCCGTGTGTGTCCGTTGGTATCCAAACCGGAGCCAGTTGGGTTTTTTGGGATGGATCTTTTCCTGCAGCTTCTCCTCGTGTCTCCTGCCGGGTCCTGCTCCTTCCTTGACTCCGGCTCTCGTTTGCTCCCGTTTTTCCAGAGCCTCTCGGAGAAGTCCTGCAAGGTGTTCCGCATTTTCCGGCAGTGGGAGAGCATGAACTCCTCCTGAACTCCTCCAGAACTCCTCCTGAACTCCTCCTGAATTCCTGAGCCTCTGGAACCCAGCACACCCCCAGGGGCTCCGTGCCTGGGAGACAGACCGACCCTCTTCCCAGCTCCGTGCCTCGGGAAGGGGATCCCGAGGGAGCCATCCCGGGATCCCCCATCCCCGCCTTGCCTTCCCCAGTTGCTGCTGTTATCCCGCGGCTCCGGAGGCTCCGGGAGCCCCTCCAGGAGCCGGGATGTGCCGTTGGGATGAGTTGGGATGAGGAGGAGCCGCCGTTCCCGGCGGGGTGTCCGCGGGGTCCGGCCCTTCCCGCTGGAAGCGACTCCAGGTGGGAATAAACATTTCACTTTTTGCCGTTGGATTTTTCCCTCCTTCCTCCTCCCGTGGTGGTTTGTTTTTTTTCCCTGGGAGGGGTGGGATGAGCTCCAGGGCATGGAATGCGAGCCCTGTATTCCCTGGGTTTTGTGGGATCTGGGATCGGTGTCCCTCTGTCCCTCCCTGCGTTTCCCGCTCCTCAATTCCATTGTCTTCCCTGCCTTTTCCCGGCCCCTGGGCCTGGAATCAGCTGCCCCTTTGGGATGATAAATCCCTGGGATTGGAGGGTGGGATGCAGCCAAAACCCCGGGAAGAGGAGGGTTAGACCTTCCCATGGCTTGGGGATCTCATGGAAAGGGGAAAAGAAGCCGAGAAGGGATTCCCTGATCCGTCATCTCCATCCTCAGGGATGTTGGGAAAGGGGCTTTGGGAAGGGCTGAGATTCCATGGAAAACCCCGGGCACAGCTGGATCTCCTCACCCCAGCTCTGTCCCCTCCACAGGGATGTGTCATTCCCTGGTTTTTGGAGCAGAAGCCCCTTCCTGGGATTGCCCCTTCCTGGGATTCCTCAGTCCCAGCTCTGGGATTTCATCCGGGTCTCATCCCGCCTCATTCCCTGGGAGGAACTTTTCTGGGAGTTCCTGGGAATGCTGCAGGTGCCTTGGCCGTGATCCCTGCTCTCCCTGAGCCCCAAAACTTGGGAATGCACCTGCCCATCTGGGATACAGCCATCCTGGGATACAGCTATCCCAGGAATCCCCTGGGAAGCGGCAGAGCCAGAGTTTGGGTGGGAATCTTTCCTTTCCCGAGGGGATCCTAAATCCCAAGGGGCTCCCTCACCCCCTGGCCTTGCTGGGCTGGGATTTGGGATGAAGAGGGGGGATATTCCCAATCCAGAGGGGTGAGGATGGGCTGGGAAGTGCCTGGGCTGGCCATGGAGGAGCCCCTTTTCCAGCTTCCCGGACCTACAGATCCCTGGTTTTCCCTGGTCCCCCCTTTCCCTGAGCTCCCACAGCTCCTGGAGCTTCCCAGAACTCATGGATCCCCCATTTCCAGCGGTTCCCTGCAATTCCCAGTGGCTCCCTTTATTCCCCACATTCCCCATCCGTGGATTCTGACACCCCCTTGTTCCCCCCATCTCCCACGGTCAGGGAACCATCCCAAAAAAACCCGGGATTCACCCATTCCAGGGAAGACAACGTCCCCATTCCAGAGTGGGCAAGGCCAGACCCAACTCCTGCATCCCGATTTCCAGACCCAGGAGGGCTCAGAGGATCCCAGAATTCCTCACATCCAAGGATTTGGGCGCTGTGAGAACGCCCTCGAGGCATCCCAAAAAAAAATACCAGGATGCTGTCGGAGCCCCTGTTATCCTGAAATTCCCATTGCAAAACCGAGGTGTTTCACCCACGGAATGCGAGGATTCCAAGAAATTCAAGGGAAAATCCTGATTTTTCCCCTCCCGTTCTCCCAGTTCCTTGGAGGCAGTCAGGGGAAACGGGGGATCCTCTATCCCAAATTTCCAGGTGCTCCGCCCAAATAGAACCCTCCCAGATTCCCCCAGGGAATTCCCATCCATGGGTGGGGGGAGGAATTTGTGTGTGTCCCCCCCCTCCAGGTCCAGCAGGATTCAAGGAATGCTGGGGCAGGAAGTGGAGGAATTTTCGGGATTCCTTGGCTGTGTCTCCTCCCCTCCCGAGGCAGGAAGTGCCAGGATGAATTTCTGGGATGATGCCGGAGTCAGGAATGTGGGGTGTGGAGAGACTCCCATTAGTGGCCTCGGCGGGCACCGGGAATGCTGTGCCGGAAATCCGGGATGGTGACTCCTCCACCTGCCACATTCCCGCCTTGGAATCCGGCGGGAAGGCTTGGATTTAATTGGGGGGGGGGGTGACACGGGATGTTGTTATCCCGGGAATTCAGGGGTGGACGGAAAAGTGGGGAATGGGGGGGGATAAAGGGGTGTCAGAATCCATAGGGAATGGGGGGAAACACAGGGAAAACATTGGGCCTGATGTGGGTGTATCCCAGGATTTGGGGGGTGATTCCCTGGTCCTGGAGGGACAGGGAA